ACCAATTATATTTAACCCTCTGGAATACTTGATTCAAATATTTGTACTTCATAACTGCTTAAATGTATATTACACCATTGTCAATGGCAATATAGGGGAGAGCGGGGTGAGTGGAGCAATTTTTTTACTTACGGTGTGTTTAAAGTGAGCACATGACAGTAATGGGTCCAACTTAAATATGTACATAAATTTCAGGATGTGGTGCATCCTTGGGAACAATCACTTTGGATCTAAAATAAAGTGCTTTCAAAACATGGCTTTCCATGGCTTTCTTGGCTCAATTTGCCCCCAGTGAGGGGTAAATTGAGCATAGGAAGAAGGTAAGTTGAGCCACATGGAGTTAAACTGTTTCATTGATTATGCTGAAGTGAAACTGAACATTTTATAAACTCAATAAAAATGACTTCTTAACATCTATGTGTCAGCCTTGTGATGGTATGGCTATTCATCCAGGGAGTTTCCCCCACCTGTGGCTCAGTACGCTGGGTTAGGCTCCAGCTCCCCGCAACCCTAATAAGGACAAAGAGGTTTGAATATTAGAATGGATGGATGGATGACTTATTAAACATTTTACAGTTCACAACTTTGAAGGCATTTTTTTTATTATTATTTAAAAATTTCAGAACAAATAAAGTTCAAATTGAAGGATTAAAAAAAAAAAAACACCGCAATTGACCTTACAGAACTGGGCTAATAGTATTCAACATCCCACTTATAAATGTTGCAGGGAAATACGATTTCATAAAAACTTCAATGGCCAATTTTCATAAACAATGCATATTTATACATTTCAAAAGTTAAAAATCAAGTTCAAAACAAAGAACAAAAATGTGTGGTCTAAAATTAATGAAATACAATGTAGAATTACAGTAAATTAATACTTTATAATCATAAGAAAGGGTGAGCCCATTACTTTTTAATACTCATTTGAGTGATTCTCAGAACGTAAAGTTGATGGAAAAATGGCTCCAAACATTCATGTACAAAATTATTCAACCCCCAAAAGTTACATTTTATTTTATTGTATTTTTTTAATAACCTCAAATAGACATTGCCTCTAAGTGCTTATAAGCTTCTGAGACCTCTCTACTGGAGTTTTGGCCCATTCCTCACTTGAAAAACGTCTCAGGTTACTTATGTAACCATGGTTCCCTGAGTAGGGAACGAGACACTGCGTCCTCTAGGGGTCGCTATGGGGAACGCCTCGTCTTGACCCGTGTCTGAAGCATACATTGAAAAAACACCAACAACACGTTGGCCGGTGACAGCCCATGACGCCACTACCAGTGCGACTATTAGTATAAATAGGCGCCGGGAGAACATGTCATTCATTCGTGCACACTTACCACTACTGTGGATTTTAGAAAGTGCGCAAAGTGTTCAACGTGAACACTTACTACTATGTGGATTTCAGGGCTTCAGACACGGGTCACGACGAGGCGTTCCCCATAGCGACCCCTAGAGGACGCAGTTCGAAGTTCCCTTGAAAGGGAACTTCCAGATCGCTGATAATCTTTGGTTTTCATGTTACCACTGCTTTCTTCAAATTTGGTTTGCTTTGGTTTGAAAGTTATTATTTGACTTCAGAAGACAAGTCATAGACGTTATATAGACATGACATGTCCTTTTATGGAAAAGACCTGTTTTAAGATTCTTCAAAATGTCTTCTTTTGTGTTGCAAAGACAACTTTATACAGGTTTGGAAAAATAATGTAAATATTTTTCATTTTTGAACGAACTATTTCTTTAACCACCAAACTAATCATGACAATGTAATGAAAAAGTTTTTTCTTAAAAAAATAAATAAATAAAATAAAATAAATAATGCCCATGTGGTCTGCTACAGCTCATATCCTTGATCAATCTTGCTTTCACAAGTAAACATGATTTGCATTGATTATAAAGGTCAATATAAGGTCTTATAAGGTCAACCCAATAAAAAAGCAATATCGTTTGAGTAAAATAATCAGTGCTCAAGCTATTATTTGTTTCTTCAATAAGCGAGTCCACAGTGGGAGACAGCCGAGATCAAATTAAAGAGGCGATCAACATCTGCGTTATTTCAGTAGAATGGAGAAGAAGAACACTATTACCTTACCCAAAATGGGAATCACCCAACAGCACCACTGCAAACACGACTGGATTGAGGGGCGGTTGAACAAGTGTTGAAAGCATGGTAGTCACATTCTGTGACCCTGCTTTAAAAGACACACACACATACTCACAGAAGTGGAAATAGGATGAGGCCTTTGGTTTGCTGTGTGATTGCTTTGTAGTATAACATATTTCCAATCTGTGTGGAGTGACTTCTGTTCACTTCTACAAGTTATCTACAGATACACATCTGGTGTTCATTAATTCGTATTCATACCATGGTCTGCCTCAATACTTGATTCTGATTGGCTGGAAGGTGTGCATTAAAACCGTGAAATACACAGATAGTTCCAGTCCATTTAATCGCATTCTATATTAATGCACTGTCTTCACTAAAGCACATACAGTACACACTAACTCCCACAAAGAGTCTGGAGAAACATGCAGGACCACAGAAACTTGTTTCAAATAAATGCTGTTCTTTTTACCTTTCTATTCATCAAATAATATTGAAAAAAAAATCACTTGTGTTTTTCCAGAAAAATATTGAGCTGCACAACTGTTTTCAGCATTGATAATTATTAGAAATGTTTCTTGTGTGGCAAATCAGCATATTGGAATGATTTCTGAGGATCATGTGATACTGCAAACTAGACTAATGGCAAATTCAGCTTTACCATCACAGAAATAAATTACTTTATACAATATATTCAAATGAAAACAGTTATTTTAAATTAGAAAGTCATTTAGCTTTTTCAATCATGCGGTCTTGGCACCCTGGGTAATGTGATCATAAACGGTAATATTTGCTTTTTCAACTGAAAAAAGTAATATTTGTACAAATTAATTTGGTTGAGTGGATGATTAAACTATAACTCATGAAGACAGTAACTTTTTGCCATACTGGCGTATAACATAACATGCAACAATACTTAACACGTAACAAAACTTTTTCAGTGTACAAAATGTAAGTTACTCAATATTACTTTATTGTTAATTGAACTGTAACTGAACGGTCTGGCCAAGCTGATATTTAGAACAGCACTGCTTCTGTGATATTAAGTAACTTGTGTTTAAATGGTTTTGTTTCTTTAGATATAAATGTGTTTACAACTACATTTTTGTCAAAATCAACTGCCCTTGACTCACAGCTTACTTCTATGAGACAGTGATATATAGGGATGTGTACTAAATTAGGTGCAGAGTGAATAGCAATGGCTCATCCCTCATTGTCTTGCATTGCTTTTTTTGATCATTTATTAAATCATATTCAGCTGGGCGTCAGCTTATGAATTTTTATTTTATTGAATGAGTTTGATTAAAACAATAAATAGCAGCTGTGTTGTTGTATAGCAGCTGCTCTCTAATAAATTGGTTATATATAAAAGTCTTAATTGATTAGATTCATATCTTACAAACTTATCAAACTTTTAACTGATGAGATTAATATCTTAAATTAAATTTGTTTCATGAAAGAAAATCAAAAACAAACAAAACAAAAAAAGCCTAGAGACCATAATTGAACATGGCTTCTTTATTTTATTTTATTTTATTTTATTTTATTTTATTTTATTTTATTTTATTTTATTTTATTTTATTTTATTTTATTTTATTTTATTTTATTTTATTTTATTTTATTTTATTTTATTTTATTTTATTTTATTTTATTTTATTTTAAATAACTTTATTTTATTTTAAATAACTTTATTGTTTTTTTTTTTAAATAACTTTATTTTATTGGAGAAGCTTTGTCTATGCTCAACTTTTAATATAAACTTTAATTTTCACACAGATCTGTGAAAAGCAGATAATAACTTTATTGTTTTTTTTTTTTAAATAACTTTATTTTATTGGAGAAGCTTTGTCTATGCTCAACTTTTAATATAAACTTTAATTTTCACACAGATCTGTGAAAAGCAGATAGCTTTTATTCTTTGCATTTTTGTTGTATATTGATTGATTGTGCATTTGTGGATAGAGACAAATTTTTAGGAAAAGAAAGAGAAACTCACCAAGTAATTTCCTGCCCTGACAATGCATATGTGTAATGTGGTGTTTTGGGTTGTGTTTCTTGTTCATGTTTTCATGTCTTTTATTTTGGAGTTTATCATGGTCCCTGTTTGTGTCATGCTTCCCTTGCCCTCATGTATTCATGCCTCGTCAAGTCAAGTCTGTTCATGTCAAGTCAAGTCTGTTCATGCCTCGTCAAGTCAAGTCTCGGATTATTGTTTGGATGTTTGGATCACACTGTAAATAAACTGCACTTGGGTTCTTCACTACACTTGCCTTCAGTGGACTGATTCGTTACAGAATACACGACCGAAAAAATGAACCCAGCAGATCAACTTGTTCGCCTCCGTCAGGGTAATCGCTCCATTGAGGAGTATGTGGAGGACTTTTGTGGGCTTTGTCACCAGGTAGACTTTAATGAAACCTTCCTAAAGGACATTTTTCGTTATGGTTTGGGACAAAATTTATCTCATTTAATGCCACGCAATACCCCTCAATGGACTCTTGAAAAATACATAGACTTTGCTCTGCAGTTGAATGGATCTGTTTTCACTGTGGGTGTCATGGAGAGGGAACATGACACTTCCCAAAAGTTTGCTCACGTCATGCCTGCCAAGCCACAGCCTGCTC